GTTATACCGTCCAAGGAGGGGAGGCCTTTCGGGGACGTTGTAGGTAGCCGGCATACCATGGGCTGATCCAGTCCAACATGATCGTTTATAGTCTCCTGAGCTGACAATGACACTTCATGCTTTGTTTCTTCAGGGTCCGTTTCTTCACTTCACTTGCCATGCATCGTCAGAGTTTGGATGCATGAAGTGACACTCTGATCGGGTTGTGTTGCTGGCATGAGCGGCGGCATGCGATCCGCTGTTTCATTGCCTCTCCGTCCTGAGAATCAGAACTTCTTCGCGTCTTGCTTCCAATGAGACATTCCGCCCTACCCGCAGGCAGCTTGAAGTGCAGATGGGAACAAGGGCCTGTACACCATTGGCCAGGTGTGGGGCAAGCCATGTGTGAGGATCCCCGCCAGAGTCAGCACCTGGCGAATCCCGAGTCCTTTGAGGCCAACGTGCTGTGCACTTCAGGCATATGACAGTGAGGCGATGGGCTAAAGCGCTCACTGGGGGCCATCGGTACCCCTGCGAGGAGCCCCGATGTGTGGCGTGCCTCGAGGTTGGTACCGGCATGTGGCGAGCAGGGGAGGCCGTTCGTACACGTCCAGAGCCAAGAGGCGTCACAATCAACAATGCAGCCCTCAGTTAGGCTGCCAGTCATGGCTTCATGACCTGATGACCTCTGATGTCCAGGCTCGTGTGTTCATGCGCGGTTGAGTGAATCCCATGTAGTTGTTGACACTGACACTGATACTGTGGCACACGCACACAGAGTGACTGACTGAGAGGCGCAGACAGACAGAGTCAGGCAGGAGAGAGACAGAGTCGCGGCTGGGAGATTCTTAACTCCCGACCCCGCACGTGTACCCCTCAGGAAAATGCTTCTTCGCTAAGATCACCCAACCAAGCTGAACCCCTGAACCTCATCTGAACCTCCTACACAATACACCCTAAGCCTTAAGCAGCCAAGCGTGAGGTCTGGTGTCTTGGGGACTTCCTCCGGTCCTACCTGCCGCAGGCGAGGGCAGGTTGACCTCGAGTTGATTGATGCTTTCAACAACAGCAAGTGGAGAAGCTAGTGCAAATTGTCTCTACGGTAGTATGCACGATTCCTGCTCTTAACAAAGGTTTGGACAGATCCTTCAGCGAATCCGTTTGTCACTTCAAGTCTTTTGTGGAGTTAGGCTTCGCTGTGACGCAAGATGGGGCCATGCTGCTCTGCAAAGTTGCTATGCGCAGACCTCGAAGCAAAATCTGCAAGCCGTCATCAGTTTCCAATTTCAATTCCCTACACCATGTCGGCAACAGGAAGTTGTCGCAGAAGGTGAAGAGCAGCGCATCACAGTGCACCACAGTTAAATGGCAAAGTGGTGTTGCACATGGTATCATCCGTAAAGACAGGTGTTTGGAGCAGCGAGTTTCAGCATGTAAACCTGCTCGCATCGCAGCCAGTGATGCCAGCCAAGTCCAAGCCTGTCCCACCTAAACCCTAAACCCTAAACCCTAAACCACAGGGAGTGTGGACGTTGGATTTTGTGCAGCGTGAGGTTGGAAGTGGCGCAGTACCGTAGAGTCGTGTGATCCCAGCGCGGTTAAGAAGTGAGGCCTCCTAGAGCCCCGAAGCAAGAATCCCAAAATCCCTTTCAAGGGGTATCTGGCAGCCCTGACGGCCCGCAAAAGCTGTTGATGCAAGGCAGCGGACACAGCTCTGAAAAAAGAGCTGGAGGAGCCGGGGAGGGAGTGGAAGCAGATGAGCTGAACCATGTTAGACTGCTAGACAAAACAGGCCGTCCTCGCGCAGGGCGGAAACGGTGGCGCAATGCAGATTATCGGGCCTCGGGTGAGCCCCAACCCTAAACTCCAAACACATTTTGAAAGTCGTCCAAAAGTCTAAACCCTGTAAACCTTGCAGTTAGTCGAGGTTGGCATTGTTGACATCCTTGCATGTCTGAGGCTGGCGTTAGGTGCAGAGCTTTGGGTATGGACTCGGGTGTTCACGGGGGGGTTTAAATTTGGTTTCGGGGTTGGGGTTTAGGGTTTAGGGTTTAGGGTTTAGAGTTTAGGGATTAGGGTTCAGGGGATTCAGGGCTGTCGATTTAAGAGTTTAGAGCTCGGAGCTCGCAGCTTCGGGTGGTTGAGGCTTTAGCGTTTAAGGTTGAGGGTCTATGGTATTGCAGTTCAAAGTCTGTTTCTGGCAAGGGGGAATGGCAATCCTCTGAGACCTTACGTTACAATGCCCTAGAGTGTAGAAGCACTCTGTGTCTAATCTTCAGAGGACCTCGACGCCCTCCGGGTGAAGCAGGCTCAGCGAATGGACGATGGCAGCTTCGTCCAGGCTTCCCCTGGAATCTCTTGTGTGTTCACTTGGGAACCGAAACCATTTCCCTGAGTTCCCCATGAATCACGTAGAAGACCTTATACAACTCTTCCGATTGCCTTGAGTTCCGTGTATAAGACCTTCTTAGCACCCCTCGGACCTTGATGTGTATCGTGTCAGCCAGTGGAAAGCCCTGAAACCAGGACCAGCTTTCATGCAACCCATCACTGTGGCATCAAGTCACATCTGTTTTCTGCTGAAGGGCTGTGGATGGGCCAGGGAACAAGGGATTCGAAAGAGCCAGAACCCCAAGAAGAGCATCATAGCATAAGGAAGACAGCAGCCTCTACGACCTAGGATGAAGATCGTAGAAGCAACAGTCATAGTGACAGATCGCATATGACATATAACAAACAGGAAGATCAGTAGTTCACAGCTGTTCTGGTGGGAGTGGGACGGGGCTTCGATGTGATTACACGTCCGTAAGTCTGTGAACAGCGGCAACATGGTATCAACACCTCAGCGATCTAGGGCAGAACGGTGTGAGACATGTTGAAGCTGTAGGCTGCATGGGCATGGGATTGAGGGGTTCGGAGAGCCGCGAAGGAGATGCAAAGCCACCGCGGAGCCCTTGGTTGCCAGTGGGTCGAGAGAATGGGACAAGCACCCAGATTTTCACAACCACGGCACCACAAAAGGCATATTAGGTTCGATTTCGATGATCGCTTAGCTGTACTGACTTTGACATCCATGATCGGCCTCACAAACCTAAGCGGGCGTGTTCCATGTGCTCTTTCGGCTTAGACACCCTGTTATTGTTTGCTAGTTTCTATGCATATGGCTCTGCGTTTCCATTCTCATCTCGTCCTTGCCCATCTGCAGGCGTTTTTGGCACTTCGGCCGGAGCTTGATGCACGCGACTTTGTTCACGCGAAGAATTCTGCTGGGACCACACAGACGCACGTGACACATGTGTTTTATGTGGAGGAGATTGATTTGCAAAAGATGGACTCGCAAAGCTCCGGGCAGTATTTCACAGGAACCGACTGCTCAGGTTTCAGCGGAGCGCACTGTTGGCCGCATGTGAATTTCGCGGAGTGCAAGACAATGGTAGCTGCTGTCACCCACCAGCACGACCCAACTGCTGACAACCGTCAGGAGCGAAAAAGTTGTTATGTTGAGCATGGAGTAGGGACAGTACGGTGGTACCACGAACACGCGCCCCGTTTTCCGACATCCGCTTATAAGCAGCTCTGCCTTTGTCGTTCGGAGTTGGTCGCCACCATAGCTGTTGCTGCTAACCGTGCCTGCCCCTACTACTGCAGCGACGAGCACGGCCCCCTGTTCTCGGAGTTCTCGGAGGATCTGGCCAGATATGAGTGCGAGGCCCTATCCTACACATTTGACAGTGAGCGGAACATTTGCCAACAGGAGGAGCCCTGGATGCACGTGCGACGTCGTGCTTTTCTTGTGACTTTTGAAGTGTTTCGAAGACAGATTCAGGATGCTACAGCTTGAACTCCGGGCCCACAAGGAACCATGTCAAATCCCTTCGGAATCTGTCGTAGATTGCATTATGGCTTCTTCTTGATTGCTAGTGCATACTCTGCCACAAAGACTCGGCCAAGCATCAGAAACACATCTTGACTTCCTGTTTTGTGCTGATAGTGAAGCCTCAAATGTATCAGGCTGTGCGATTGAATAGTTTGGCGATTTCTGTAGGAAGTTGCAGACGACCAGAACAAGCGAAAGCTACGAGTATGTGGATGCTACGGAGGATGGCTTGCCCGACGTATCGTGGACGCGATCCGCGCCGACGATGTCAATAAGTTGTGCAAAGCATCTTCTGAGGTGTCCGCGGTGAAGTTCGGAGAGGCCTGCGACCGAAGTTCTGCAATCGCGCAGCGCGTTGCTGACAGCAAACTGGCAGGACCTAAATTTGTTCAGGAAGCTAGTCAAGGTAAGTGTGCAATAGAGCAAAGTGATCATGTCACCTGCCGTTTCCACAGCCTAGTAGAAGATTCCTGGACCCGCACTTTTGGAGCTGGCGAATCGACCCAGTACAACCAGCTACCCTGGTAGCTGAGGCGGAATCGGGGCTTCATGGAAAAATGCGCATGGAGTTTGTGGAGTGTGCTTGAATCTGCAGTAGTGTGCCCAGCCAGCTTGGGACCCAATTAGTTTGAAGCGACGTGTTCTGCTTTGGGTAGGGATGTTGGCGTCTTGGGTAATTGAGGCACGAATGTTTGTCATTGCGCATGGTGAAGTTTTGTTGAGAGCTTATGGCGTAACATGCCGCATGCCATGCAGCCGTACAGCCTCCGACAGCATTTGTAAGCGGCGTTATGTTCTCTGGGACACTTGCGCTTGCTGCTTTGTGTTTGTGTGGGGGGACAGCCGACTTGGAGAAAGTTGGCGACGCGGCGAGTTCTTTGACGAGCTGGGCCTGACCCGACCCAATTGCAAACGGCAGCGCGTCTGCGACTGCAGCTCTAGGGCCCGCTGCGCATGCAGGATCCTTTTTGGGCCAAATGAAAGCATAGTTAACAGCATTCACCTTAGACGTTGCAACTTGACAGGCCGACGGATACACTCTAATTCCACAGTGTTGCAGCTGGACTCCCTGCAGAGCTTGATGGTTAGTCAAAGCGGCCTGGAAGGGTCGGTACCCACAGGCTTTACAAGCTCTCTTGCCGATCTGAACCTTTTTGGAAATGAGCTGACCGGCGACATGTCCGTGTTGAGCCACCTCCCAACGAACTTGCGGCGAATAGTTCTTTCTGGCAACAGGCTTTCGGGAGCCATCCCTGAGACTTTGCAATTCCCTCAACTGAAGATGCTGCGCTTGGCAAACAATGCTCTGACGGGCGGAATCCCTGCGAAGCTCTTGGAGGCGGCAACATTGGAGATCCTGTCATTGGCCAACAATAAACTCAGTGGAGCAATTCCTGAAATTTCCTCCCCGACAGGGCAGACGGAAAAGCCTCTGGAAGAGCTTTATTTGGAGGGGAACCATCTCCAGGGCGAGATCCCAAGCAGTATCGCAAAACTGAGCAGGTTGAAGATTCTGCGCCTAGAGAAGAACGCTTTGGAAATGAAGATCCCAGAGGAGCTGTCAAGCCTGCTGAGCTTGAAACAGCTTCGACTCAATGGCAACAATCTCCGCGGACCAATCCCAGAAGGTCTCGGGAAGCTACGGAACCTGAGGGTCCTGCAACTGAACGACTTGCTTTTGGACTGTTCGATTCCCGAAGCATTGGGCAACTTGACCCAGTTGAAAATGCTGGATATGTCGAACAGCAACCTGATGGGGGCGATTCCAACACAGCTCGCAAACTTAAACAAGATGCAGAGTCTTTCCTTGATGAACAATGACTTGCGAGGTAGATTGCCTTCACTGAACATGCCAGAGCTGAGGGTTGCCCTCTTGGGCGGCAGCCGCTTTTCTGGACCTTTGCCGAGATCATTTTGCGAGATGAAGCAGTTGCTGACCCTGAGTCTGCATTGGAACAACCTGAATGGGCCCCTCCCGGACTGCTTGGGACATGTCTCCAACCTGACACAGCTGTTCCTGGCGCGCAATGAGTTCGACGGAGAAGTCCCGAAAAGCTTTTCCAACCTGGAGAAGTTGGAAGTGATTACGCTTCACAGGAACTTCTTCAGCAGCACCATTCCAGAATTGACCCAAAGCAGCCTAACAATTGCAACCTTTCATGACAACGACTTTGCGGGTACCATACCGGCATTCAACTTTTCGTCCGCGTGCAGCAACAGTCCGTGGTATAGAGTGCACGGTATCGACTGCTTGGATCTGAAAGGAGCCATGGAGCGAGGTGACGTCAGAGACTGTTGGGAGTTGCAATCGTTATACAAAATGGATATTGCCGGGCTTCTGCGGCAGTGCCCTAAAACTTGTAATACTTGCGACGTCAATGGACTGCCGGCCAAAGCTACACTACACAGGAATAGACTGGCTGGTTCAATCCCTCGGTCCATCAATAGTTCCAGGATCCAGGCCACAGCCCTCATGCAAAACATACTTGGTGACGGTGAGCCTCTTGATGCGAATTGGCTGCCGCCGGAGGATTCTCGTTTGTGTTGGAGACGGTGTTGAATTTTTTGCTGTTTCGTTCAGGAGTGTGTGGGAGTTGCAGTCCACTGATCATGCGTTGTGTGCTAGTACAACTCGATTCAGGAGTCGGAGGAACACTTTCTCTACTATTCGAGCGAGGAAAGTGCGAAACACGTGGACATGGCAATAGTCCTGTGCATTCTGATGTCTCTGTTTCTTCTTCCGCCGTGGCAGAGGTGCCTGAAGGATGCCACAACAAGTGTGACCAAGCCGCCCAGCAGCCTTGTGAAGAAGCTTACCGAATCCTACATTCAGGTGCTGCTCATAGCAGCATGGTGTGTCGCAGGGTGTCTCATAACCTGCCCAATCTATTACTTCCATGCAAGCAACTATCTGCATACACGGAGTTGTCCGTTTCTGGCCAGCATAAGCGCCGCCTACTTTCAGGGCTTCGGGAGCCAAGAAGTGTTCAAGCTCTCGGAAGCGTTCATGATCGCATCATGGTGCGCTTTCGATGTATTCATTCGCTTAACGGCTCTGCGCATCAAGCCCCCAATCCAGAATCAGTGCAGTTCCTGGCACTGAGAGAGCATTTGTTTTCTTCTCATAGGCTCGTGCAGGCAGGTGGTGATATGCGCGCACACGGAGACAAGCGTGCGTGCTGCTCGGCGATCACTGAGGTCGGGGCAGCACGAGGTGTGCGACGAGGTGTTTGTTATGGATGATTTGGCTTTCGATCGTTTTCCTGATCTCGATGCCTCAGATCCTCTTCGCCATGGCAGAGGCTCGGCAGTGGGCGTTGCGGCGTTGTTTCACCCGCTGACAGCGACCTGCAAGAAGAGTAGAGCAGGCAGCCGGTAGGCAGAGAAATAATGTGTGTGTGATAAACTACGCAAACTGACACCTGAAGCACTATCTGGCTTAGAAAGTTACCCGCTCGCGAGGCCGTGCCAAAGGGATCGGAGTACCAAGGGTGGTTGGAGGTCTGCCACCGTGCGGCTGGCATCTTTGGTCCTCTTGTCGACATGTTCGTCGCGAGCAAACTCAGTACGACGTTTGCTCGAGTGACGAGGCTGTTCGGAGAGCCGATCAAGGCACATCCGTTGCTGATGACGCTGCAGCTGTGCTCACAGTGGATGCTGCCCATGCTGGCCACGGTGCTTCTGCATGCGAATTGCATGGGCGGATGGAAGATGTTTTGGGGTGTTTGCACCGACAGTGTATCATCGCAGAGCTTCGAGTGGAAGGTCTTTGACATGGAAATCCTTACCACGAGCGATATGTGCGAGTACAAGCTGCAACGCTTGTGGGAAGGACGCTGTAGTCGTTCTGTCATCCAGGACCTGTCACCACTACTTCTGCAGAAGCTGCTTGTGAAGGCAGTCGCGCTTCCAATCGGTCTTTGGCTTGTTTGGCGCTCGTTGCTTTGGCTCGGTTTTTGGTATGCGAGTGACGGTTCGGGGCTCCGGCCTGTCGCTGAGCTGCTTACCAAGCCTATGAAGTCCATGGGGCAGCACGCCACCCTCATGACGTGGCTGGAGCAAGCTACGGTTTGGGGGCCCTTGGCCCCCTTCCTCAGTGTGGCGATTGCTGCAGCTGCTGCGCACAATCTGATGTTAGTCCACTTCGCCTGGAGCAAGCGGGTTCCCTGCTGAGACGGGAGTTCCAGGTGAAGAGAGTGCAGACGAGGCCAACTTAAACGCGTCTTTATCTCGCAGTCACCTCCGCGGTGCCTTGGCCATTGCCTGGAGTTTCCAGCTTTGGCATGCCTGCAGCAATGGAATGAGCGGAGTAGTGCTGCTGCTTCCTGTGGGACTTCTGGTTGTCATTCCGGATGACAAGCTGAAACAATATCTTCCAGTGGCGCTTGAACATTGGTTGAAGCCCGATCCGCATCTCGACGGTCTGGCGGAGATCGAGTTCCAAGTGCGAAGCCCGCCAGACTGTGAGCACTCCGGGGTGACATCTGCGCAATCCTGGACTTCTGTGTCCTGATCGGATTCTGCACAGCCCTACCGCTCTGTCGACAGAAAAAAGAGTCAGAGCAAAGAGCCTAACTTCCCTAACCCCCCACACCCTAAACTGCAAACCCAAAATTCCTTAAGGTGCCTCTGCCGCTGCCTGGCTGGCTGCGGTGGCCATGCCGCCCCCGAGAGCCAGCTCCGTGAGTTTCGGCCCCAGCCATCTTCTGGCTTGGGGTTTAGCTGTTTCGGGGTTTTGGGATCTAAGCTTCAGGTTTTATCGTTTGGATTACACTAAAGCGGTCCCCTTCTACATTAGATCTTTCTGGGGTTTTACGGCAGTTCAGGTTTTTTTCGGATTGGGCGGGCTTGGCCGTTTTGGATTTCCGGCTTCGCGCTATGAATCCTAAACCCTAAACCCCAAACCCTAAACCCAGGCCAGGACCTGCGGTCTGCGACCGACGTGCTGCGCCGTGGCCTGGATGTGGCCTTGCGCACCTCGGCCTGCGGGTGCTTTGGAGCTTTCAGGGTCAGGGTCCGGCTCAGGTCGGAGGTTTCTTTGGTCTCTCCGGGTTGAGGGCATGGAGGGATCGGAGGGATTTTGGGTTGGGGGGTCATTTGGGGTGCCCTGAATTTTCCAAGGCCCTCAACCTAAAGTCCTTTGCCTGTAGGGTCATCCGCACACCGCCTGACGTTATTCGACCCGTGGGATTCAGCTCTTCAATGCCCTGGGTGAAGTGCTCTACATGCTTTGCACGACTTCATGATCTCAATTGCAAACCCTTCGATCAACCTTATCAGACAAACGGCATACTACAGTACGCTGAAGCTGAAGAGCTTCACAAGAAGAAGACAAGCTATGGCCTAAAAGGTCGTCCAATAGCCGCAAACCCAAGGCCTCATGTCACACAACTTTCCATGAGCATCCGCGCTGACGGACGATCCCAAAGAGTTCTCATGTCGAGGTTGTCGAGGTGTGCGGTTCGTCTTAGCTTGATGCACGTGACATAGGTTTCATGGGTGCAAGACTGTCCAAAGCTCTCGCTCCTGATCGCGACACAAGATACATTGGGAGCCTCCAGTCCTTCGTCCCCCTCTTATTTGGCCCTCGGTACTGCAATGCAAGCCTCCTTGCAGGTGTCCGCATCTTGCTGGAGGTGCACCCGTCGGAGTCTTTTGAGTCATGCTTGGGTGTTCTCCAAGATGGGATGATCTTCGGAGCACATCCATTCTCATAAGATGTTCTTCCCATCCTCATCGGATAGCACACCCGCTCCAAGCAGATCTTCGAGCCTACGTCGGGTCCGTCGAAGTGTGCACGGGTTCAGATTCATGATTGCTATTCCCTTTGCTGCCCCTTTTTGTTCTTATCCTTGCTATTCTTGTTGCGGCCATGGTCTTTGCTCATGATGCTTCTGAGCCGGCGTGTCTCGCAGACCTTTTGCCTCCCACCAGTGCTGCTACTGCTACTGCTACCATTGATGCTGCTGTTGTTCTGCTGCTTCTTTCCTTCAAACAACAACAACAACAGCAACAGCAACAGCAACAACAACAACAACAGCAGCAGCAGCAGCAGCAACAACAACAACAACAACAACAACAACACAAACACCTGCTTTTGCTGCTGCTACTCGTGCTGCCACTGCTGCCACTGCTGATCCTGTTCCTCCTCCTCCTCCTCCGCATCCTACAGCTATGATACACTACTATAATGCTTCTACTGCTTTGCTGCGATTACTTCCAAGAGTCAGTAGTACAACTAAATGCATACGTACACGAACAAGCACGGCCGCCACCGTGTACGGATACCATGACCACATCTACTGCCACCATTGCCACCACGACCCCAACCGCACTACGACGTTGCCGACCATGTGATGCATTGTGATGCGGAGCAGGACTACCTCGTGCTGCACGTGCTCTGCTCAGACTGCCGGTTTCCATGCAGGAGTTTTAGGGTTTGGGGGGGGGGGCATCCAGGCATTTGTGGTTAGGGGGTTCTTTCGAGTTCAGGATTTGTGGATTCGGAGGTCAGGGTCTCGGATGAATGTCGTCTCTTGGATAGGCTTTCTGTCTCAGGATTCGGATTTGCTGCTTTAAAGCATGTCTGCGGATGCTCGTCTTACCATGCCTTCGGACTCTGAATTCCTCGCTCAGGGCAATCCCATCCTGAAGCACCCAGAATTAGAAGCCCCTTTTTCGAATCCCCGAAGTCAGTCGCGTAGTACCCTCCGCGTCCCCGTTCCCAGACCCTTCACCCCCAGGGTATAAAGAAAGAAAGCCAAAGCCTCAAGGCTCCAAGCACTAAGATCCCAAGGTGCGAGAAGGCGTACCAGTTCCTAGGGCCGTGCTGCCCAGCGTGGCATTGGGCTTCCAGCTCCTGACTACGCTGCAGGCGCCTTCCAAGCTTCACGTCTTGTTACCCCGAAGCTTAAGTCCGACTTAGCAGTTCAAGACTAGTGTTCAGGAGGTGTATGAGGAGTCTTTGGAGAAGCAGGTTGTCGGGTTTTTAGATTTTGAGTTTTGGGCTTGACTTGTTGGACCTGTGTCTTTCCACAGTTTAGGGTATTCAAGCGCCTTGCTTGTAGATTGTTGGGTCGTGGTCCATGGTGAGGATGAGATTCCTACATGCTTTCGCTGAGTGATACGGGCAGGAAGAAGACCATCCGAGAAGAGTTCTGAGAATGAGAACCATTTTGTGCTCCGGGGAGTTTGGGGTCTTTATCTGCTATCGGAAGAATCCGACGATCTAGGGGTTTCTGTCGGCCGTGTTGCCGGAAAGTCCCATAAGCACAGGCCGCTTCATGCCACCATCATCCCACTGGCAGTTGACCCTCCGATCTTCCTTCTCATCTTTGGGCTCTAGCCATAGGCCCCATAGTAGTTCCTTTTTGGGACTACCTACTAGGATCCTAAATACAAGCCACAAAAAGGAACTACTATGGGGCCTAGGGGTACGTAGCACCCTTCACCTTAAACCCTCAGTCCTGAGCCTGAGACTAGAAACTGCAAGAACAAGCAACGCCCAGGCCCCAAATTTCTGAACCCCCCGAGTCCCAAAGCACAAAGCCTGAAAGCCCATCCGGGGGAGCCCATCGAGACTGCTCTCTTGGAAGTTGCCATTGGCTCTGCCAGGCAGCACAAGGGGAGGCTATGAAGAGAAGATAAGGACAGCATGGTAATCATCTGAAGAGGAACAGAGACGCTGATCACCATTAGGATGATGTAGATGCGGATGATCACCATCGTCCTACCGGTACGTTCCAAGGGCAGCGAAAGCAATAGCTATCACATAATCAAGGCCATCATCATCATGTTCGTCGCCATCATCATCAGCGGCACTAGCATCACCATCGACATAACCACCATCATGACTCATGACCATCAAGACAGATCGGTAATCACGTGACAGGAATGCAGGTACGGTAGATTCCGTTATCTTGGAAGCGCTGCCTGTAAGGAGCACATTGCTCCGAATCATTAACACTTGGAATATGTCAGATGTATCTTCGTCGTGGGAGGCCGAGAAGCGCTAGCCATATAGCTCACACACTTAGACAATCATCTGACACCCCTGCAGCTGGGTCTCTCCGGTTGTTGCCATGGCAAGCAAGCTTGGGTGGCTTGTGGCGCTCTGGGTTTGTGCATGGCAAGCTGAACCTGCAGCTCGGTGTACAGCGTAATCGGCGCGGGGCATAGTCTAAACCGGTAGAGTTGCAAGGGTAGGATCTGTGTTGATGTCTGGGAGCGGGTCCGAAGCTGGCTGATTGCCCAAGGTATTGGCAGACCTTGTTGTGGAAACTGCCAATGGGCCGGTTGCTTGGCTCATCAGCTTCTCAGAAGCGAGGCTTCGGAAGTTTCTGACAGTATACTTAGGGTTCAGGGTTTAGGGTTTACTGTCAGCCGACTAAGTCAGGAAGTTCTAGGACAGGCACGACGCTCCTAGGCTGTGTCTTGAACAACCGCGAAGCAGAAGAGACTTGTCGAATTTGCGGTGAGGGTTCAGGACGGCGTGGACTTTGTGGATGCGTATCGTTGTCCTTCAGGATGTCGTTGCCTGCGGGCTGTCTTATTAGGGCATGATAATGCCACCAGAAAAACTGCACGAAAGGACCAGCCTGCAAAGACCCCAGCACGCACTATCCGGCTGCCCTTTCGGCAACCCCCTGGACCGAAGCTCAACAAATCAGCCGCGAAGCGCGAAGGCATACATCATTTCTGCACATGGGTAGTTGTCAAAATTAGGGTCCCTTTTGGGGTACCCTAAATAATAGGTGCCGTATTATAATAAGGACCCAAAAAGGGACCATCATTTTGACAACCACCCACATGCTTCGCCTGAAGGCTTTCATGTGACACCCCGGAGGCGCCAGCCGAACTATAGTCAGGGCACACGCAATAGGCACCGTGGTGGTAGTGGTGGTGACGACTCCTATCGGCATAAGTACTACTACAGACATGGTAGTCGTCACAGCAGGATACCATGCACCTGCGCGTTGTTCTTGCGGCGTTGGCCCGGCTCTTTGCCTGAACGCTAATGAAGATCCATGCATCCCAGGTCCAGGGCGTGTACCGGGACGTTGCAGAGAAGACAGCTTCATGGTGAGACCCGGGCACACAACGAAAGGGATTGTGGTCTGTCATGTGTTCGGCCCGATATCTTGGATGCGGGGTGGTTGGAAATTCATATTATATAGAACTCTTAGCCGAAGTTTTGGGTTCCGCAGCTTTCAGAATGTTATGGAGGCCTCTGGTGTTCGCACATTACATTGGGAGGTGCCAAGCCAAGTTCAGGCCCTAGGGCCAAGATTCACCGACGACGGCTTCGGCGATTTCCTGCGGCATCAAACTCAACCTAATTCAGCCGCGATCTCCAAGTTCCGGGTTAGGTTTAGTAACGCCATGTGCGACCACGCAGTCCTAAGCCTACCCAAACCGTCGACAGTGGCCAAGATTGCGTGCCTGAAACGTGCTCCAAGTATTCGTGCTCGTCCATGACATGAGAGCTGAAGCCTAAACCAATTGTCCCAGAAGACTTAAGGTACTACGGTAATGGTTGCTATGTCGATCGCCCGTTATAACTGCTTCAACGCTATCATAATCATTTTCTCCTCATAATGGTCATCCTCGTGGTGACTTTCATCGTGGCATAGTGTGATTAAACCCTAAACCCTAAACCCTAAACCCTAAAAACCCTAAACCCGAGTTTTGGAAGGTGGGGCCTTCCCTACGCTCAGCCACCGACCGAAGAGCGCCGTTTCCAGGCCGGCAAGTGCTTTTTGAAGCCGCAAGCTCTGAGTCCAAGCGCCTCAACCCCAAACCTTTGTGAAGGTTCTCTAAACTCGTACATGCAACTGAATCCAGGAACGGCACTGAACTGTAGTTTTGGAGAGTAGAAGAGGTGGGGGTCGCGATGTTCGAATTAAGTTAGTATCTAAGCAAGGAAACTTTGTGACAGGTTTGCCCAGCCTTGATTTTATCTTTGAATTCCCCCCACCCCCGAAAGCTGTTGGGTTACAACGTGCTTGACGGTATTCCTTCGGCTGAGCCATTAAACCTTGCGAACCCCAAAGCCATGAGTCCCCTAGACCCTACACCGCCTAGCAGAAACTCTAAGCCCCGCAACCCGAAACCCTCAGGTATGAAAACCCCCAAAACCCTAAAACCCCTAAGCCCTAAGCCCTGAAACTTAACACTCCTGCACCCGAAGACCTTAAGGTTAAGACCGGGGGCCCCTAGCTGAAGCTACACCCTAAACCCTAAACCCTAAACCCTAAACCCCTAAACCCTAAACCCTAGACCCCTAAACCCTAAACCCTAAACCCCCGTTGGCCATGAACTCAGGCGCCTCAGCCGTTCCTGGGATTTTGGAGCCTCGGAGTTCCAAGAGTTTAGGGGTTCGGGGATTAGGGTTTAGGGTTTAGGGTTTTGGGTTTTGGGTTCAGGGATAAGGGTTTAGGGTTTAGGGTTTAGGGTTTAGGGTTTAGGGGTCTTCGGAAGTCGGTCATAAGTAAGGTTATAATTGGGGTAACTACAGTTAGGGTACTTATAACTCTGCTTCTAACTTACTTACTAAGTCCCCTGGGGTTTTCGGGGGTCCAGGGTTTGTGGGTGGTTTGGGCGTTGCGGGTTTAGGGGTTAAGGGTGTTAAGGGTTAAGGCTTTAGGTTTAGAGTAATCCTTTCGGTCATGGGGTAAGTTGAGGGCCAAGAGTTTCAACGTTTGTCCTTCTCGCCCATTCGAAAAGAGATTGAACCATTAATCATTAAACTCACTATGCTTGCAAGGGTCCACGGCCGGCCATGACGCAAAGACTTATTCCTAAGAGTGGTTTTCTAGCTTCTCAGAGGGCCTTGATACTAAACCCTAGACCCTATACCCTAAACCCTAAACCCTCTGCCTTAACCCTTATAAGCCAAGGGGCCTTTATATAACCCGCACAAAAACAGGGATGATTCGTTTACACCTAGCCTCAACTCCTAGAGACCCAGGACTGAGCCGCGCCAGGCCCTCCGGGATTCCTCCAAGGTTCAGGGGTATAAGGAACATAATATAAAATATAACGTTATATACAGTATACATATATATACACGGTATATATATATATACTAATATATATATATATATATATATATATAGAGTGTACATTACTTGTGTATACGTATATATGTATATATCAGGTCAGGTCCGCACGGTTGCAGGTTTAGGCTTTTATGTATGGCGGTCCCCTGGGCGGGTGCGCATTTCCTTCCGCAGGCCGAAGACAGATTTTGAAGAGCCTGCTCTTCTTGGGGGATCATGGGACTTAGTAAGTAAAATTATAAGTACCCTAATTGGGGTTCTAATTCTAGTTACCTTATTTATAACCCTGGTTAACAAGTCCCATGATCCTCCAAGTTGTGGGTTTCGCGCGTCGGGGTGTTATGGTGTGGGATCTCGCTTTTGACACGTTAGTCCTGGGCAGTAGCATTTTGCCTGTACACGAATGGCAGCAACGTTCTTTCTACGATGGTGATGCTGATGAAGATCTTCACGTATTTCTTGAAGGTCCTGTGGCTGGGCTGGGATGTGACTGTGAGCAAAGTTGCCAAAAGGCTTGGAGGTCAACGAACGTTTGAAAGTCAGGTGCTGTAACCGGTACGCCGGGCTGCTGAACCTTGTCAGCCCTAAACTGCACCAGAGGCCAGGAAACCCTTAACCCTAGACCCCACACTCTACGCCCCAAACCCTTAAGCGTGGCCTTGGGGTTGGAGAGGCCACGAGGATACCACCAGAGTGCACGCAGTCGGCTGGACGGTCTGTCAGCGGCCAGGAGGATTGCCTCTACTTGAATGTGCCTTTCAAGCAGTGGTTTCGGTTTAGGGGCCCTACACCCTACACCCTGAACCCCCGAGGCCCTTGACCCTAAGCCCTGAACCCTGAACCCTGCACCCTAAACCTGAAACTCATATGTTTTTAGGTTCAATGCTTCAAGCGCTCAGGGCTCCAGGCTTCGGCCTGAGGGACCAGGTTTAAAGGCTATAGGCTTTAGGGTTGAGGGTTTAGGTCATGGAAAAAAAAACTTGAGGAGCGGTCGTCTTGCTGTCTTCGTCTTTGGTTACGACAGGTGAAATTTTGCAGAGATTCATGACTCGAAGCGCCCGTCAGCACTACCAGGCTTCCAGGCTTTGGGGCCTCGGGTTTGCGAGGTGCTGCGTGGTGATCGAAAGGTGCGAAAGGTTCCTGCGAGAGCGTCAGAAACGAGACTATTGTAGATTCTATTGATTTGATATATATATATATATATTAAACAAATAAATATGAGTATACATATATATATATATATATATATATATAATGCAACTGCGAGGTCCATGCCCCTGTGCCCGACGGAGCGACATCCCGGCCCGTGCTCGTGTGGCTCTATGGTGGTGGCTTCCCGACTGCAGGGCTTCGCTGCCTGTGCTGAGATGCGAAGTTCGAAGGTTTTGGGGCCCAGAGTTGGTTTTCAATGTGTGGTTCCCGGTTTTGGGGATGCAGAAGTGGGGTGCTGGGGTCGGAGAGAATTAAAATCCTCCGCCTGGAACCACGCCACGCAAAGTTGAAGAAGTGTTTGGATTCAGACCGCCGAATCCCGGAAATACATTATCACATCACTTTCATCACCACGAGGATGCCCATCATGGTCAGAAGCGCCATCACGATCATCATCATCATCATCATCATCATCATCATCATCATCATCATCGGCAGCAGCATCACCATTGCGGGCATGTCGATGTTTTTCACACCCTGGCCCGACAGACAAGGCTTCTCAGTCGGCGATAGCTACTCCATGGGTCTTTACGACGGCCAGCACTTGGCCTGGAAGCACGAGGCGCCTCGGGTGCTTTTGCGCGCATCTGCTTCTTCGGAATTCGGGCACTCGTTGTAACACGGGCGAGTATGCGATGAGTACGGTCCAGAATGACCAGTTCTACTACAAACCGGCTTTCTTCCCTCCTCCCGGCGGCGAGTCGCAGAAGCCATAGCAATTGGACGACCAACATGGATTCAGCTTTGCCTATTAGTCTGGACTGGACCCAATGTTTGGGTTGGCCCGGGTTACGTGTCCGGATCGCTAATACCCAGGAGCCCACAGCAACTAATCTAGCACGCTTTTCAAGAATAAGGTTCCTTCAATGAAAGGTAAACCTCGCAACTTTGGGATGCTGGATGTTGTGACGGAGGATAGATGTCGTTGTTTTACTTCTCCTAAACCCTAAACCCTAGGAAACCCTAGGAAACCCTAGGAAACCCAGGCCCCCTAAGAAATCATCGTGGGTCTCGGTCCGATCTAAACCCGAAGCCCCCAACCCCTTAACCATCTAGAGCTCAAGCCCTAAGCGCCTAACGCCCCTAAACCCCTGAACCCTAAACCCTACCGTCAGGTCGTGGTGGTCACTCTGAATTATCGCCTCTGCGACCTGCGGCCGCACTCAGCCTGGGTTGCTTTAGTAGTTACAAAATGACGATCATGGATAAGTGCTGCTGGTTTTTGAGTTACATTGTACTGTGTGTGTGTGCGGTGCTTTGCCACGTACTGCATCATGAATGCAGCGCTCCACACCGCAAGACAACTTTTCTCAACTAATAAACCTGCAGGTGGAGTGTGGTCAAAGACAGATAATCAACACAGCCTTTTCAATGCACATCGCGTAAATCTGAGATGTGACGCATTCTATGTAATTAATTGCCGCAGAGTTATGCATTGCAGGACAGAGCCGATAAGCCTGCATGGCACATGGTTCGGACAGAGGCCCAGGCTGCTGAAGTTGACATCTGCATTGTGCTATCCCCTGCGCCGCCGCCTCCCCCCACCCCTCCCCAGAATTCTCACTCCGAAGCCTAAGTCAATGCCACTGCACATCGCAAGGTCTTGGGCTTCATGGCCTTGGATGCGCTGCAGAATGAGTCCTCCACTGGATCCACAGGGAACCATGCTCTTCAGGATAGCATCCGACGTCAGCTGCCGTTGCAGGGGTTATGGGAGCCACTTCCCAGAGACTCCACTGTTTCAGGGTTCAGGTCTTCCTGCATCTTCGATAGAGCACCACAGGATGCATGGAGTTTAGGGTATATCGGGCTTCTATAAGGCTTCTATAAGGTATATAGACCTTCTATAAGGATCCTATAATAGTTTAAAGTTTAGGGATCTGCAAATTTCAATTCTTTGGCCTTCCACGAAACCTTGGGACTGCTTTGAGCATCTTTGAGCTGAGCCCCCACGCAGAAAGATTGAATGTGAAGCGTATCTGCGGCTCCTGTTCCCACCCGGCCTGTAGTATATTATGATACCAACAAATATTAGTATGACTAAATATGAGTAATGTGGTAATACAGAGCCGGACCCATTGCAGGAATAACAATAACAATAATAATGCCAACAGTAATAAGAATAATATTTGTAGTAAGAAAATATCACTACTAATAATTGTAGCAGCAAGAATAAACAAGTCTCAGTTATCACCATGTATTGTTACTGTAAGATACTTCAACAAACCAACTATACTACAATAAAAGACACAAACGTAGTGCTCTACAGCATACGACAGTATGCTGCAATGAAGGGAACCGAAGCCAATACCCCTCCAGAGAGGATCAGCAGTTGGCGCTGCGCTGGGTGGCCTGGACAAATAAAAAACCAGTCCCGGGAAACAGACTTGAAGAAGAAGGGGTGTGCAATACGGGGGGTGTCTAGGGGTTGTTTAGGGTTTGGTAGTCTCAAGAATTAGGGGGCACTCATATTATATTTATATTCGGGACGAAATAGTCAGTTATTCCCACACAGGCAGCCCTTCGAGTTGTAGATGTCTTCAGTTTGCCGGCTGGTTTGCTGGTGCCTGGGCCGGCCTCTTGCAAGCGAGGGATTCTCGACCTTCCCAAAGCCGGGAAGTCGCCAACTTAAGCCAACCCTCCCCCCCCTACGTCCCCCCGCCACCCGAAACCTTGATACCCAAACCCGGAGACTTGAACTCCAAATCCCAGAGAAGCTCCCATCCGAGGTCCAGGCGAACATTCGCAACTTCGGCGGGGACCCCGGCCGTGTGACGCTCTTTGGCGAGAGTGCCGGCGCCTTCAGCGCCTCTTGGCTGTCGAGTTGTGGAGGTTAGGGTTCAAAATTCAAGTCTTTTTAATTAGACAAGGGTTTCGGAGTAAATTATGAGATAGTAAGTACTATATGTAGTAACTGCAAGAGGCATCTTTATTATTTTCTAATTCCTCAAACCTTCATATCAGGGGATTGCGGGGTTTTGGGATCCGTGCAGGGTTTTTGTTATTTACGTTGGTTGCGGTTAGCCAGTAGGTTAGCCAGTAGCATTCGCAACAGTAAAACTAGGCCCTAAATCTCAAACGCTTAGGCCGAGGACTTGGACCAGGAAACCCTCTAAGGGCTTTAGGAGGGACCCTTACTAGGGACCCTTGTCGGTTATTGAGGTTAACATGGAGACTAGCTGGCTATACAAGGGGTATATAAAGGACTATACCACTGGTTATTTAAGATAATGGGATTAAGGGTCACTATTTTTGGGTCCCTCCTAGAGTCCTTACAAACCCTAAACCCTAAACTGCCCGTGGCCCTTGGCCCTGCATCCGAAGCGCGGGGACATGGGCTCGAAACGGACCAGAGCCACTCCCAGACCCCCAAAAGGATCTAAGACATAGATCCCCTAAGTAGGGACCCTAACTACTAAAGGGTACTTTATAGGAACCCCCTTAGGCGATCTATTTTTTAGATCCTTTTGGGTTTGGGCTTGCCTTTGAGGTGATGTGGCATTTGGTCAGCCAGAAATCTGCAGGAGACCTTGGCACAAAATTGAACATGCAAGATTGGGAGCTTCATATATTATTGGGGCCTAAGTAACTACCTTTACTGTTTTCCGGGTTCCTTACTATATGTATAGTATAATATACCCCCCCCAAACCCTTTTGCAAGTATTACAGTAAGGCCCTTCTTTAGGGTGTGGAGTTTGAGTCCTACACCGGACTTCTGGGATCTTTCTGTGTTGCTAGAGCCAGGGCGGTTTCCTAGCGAGGAACTCCTTAGCTGGCAAGGCCCGATACTCCTGAAAGTCGTCGTAGTGTAGTCGTAGTCGTAGCCGTAGTAGTAGTAGTAGTAGTAGTAGTAGTAGTAGTAGTAGCAGTGGTCGTAGTGTGTTAGTCGCAGTAGTGGCAGTAGTGGCCGTAGTGG